CAGTGTAGCCATCTTGCCTTTATTCACAAAGTACGTATTAATATGGTCAAGCTTTGTAATTGTGTGAGCTATTCTCATTTCGAGCTTTTGTCATGGAATTGAAATGCTTTCCTTCTGAAATCAGCTCTCCACAGGTGTCTTATGAAACAGCAGGATCCAGCTTCTGAGAGTCATGTGGTTGACTTTAAATTTAGGCTTCAGCTGTTAGTTTAGCTGGTGACAGTGTGGTTTTGTAGTTAGTAAAAATGCAAAGGATCTCCTAATTTCTTGACCTGCCAAAAATGTGCTTTAAAATGTCAAAAAAGTGCTTTAAAAATAGTAACCGGAGGGCGCAGGCGTGGCCCTGCTGCATCAGTGCGGAGGCAGCCGGAAGCCCATGGTGCTAGCTTCCCCGCTGTTGCTCGACTTTCTCCTGTGACACTTCTGCTAGATCGAATAGAAAGTTAAGGCTTTGTCCAAGAACAACTACATTATTTTGCTAAACACAAGGTTCATTTGGTGAAAAAATTTGTATCAGTCTGCTTGACAGAAATGGTCATTCTGGCTAGACAAAACAGCAGCTGTGGTGGTCTTTGGATGAAGTTATAGTTTAAATCAGAGTTTTCAGTGTAGTGTTTTATTCAGAACACAGATTCTTGGACCCTACTTCCACCCAGTGAACCAGAATTTCTTAGAAAAGTTCTTCAGAACTTCCATTTTTTGGAGCCCTCTATAAAACTTGAGGACCTCTGGCTGAGCCCATACACTTATATTTGAGTGCAAAATGGCATTGTGTGGGAATGCAGAGGAAAGCTTTGGATGAATGTTAGAAGCTTGGGTATTTATCTGGGTTCTGCCTCTTACTGGTGGTTTGATCTTGTGAATCATTTAACCTCCCTGAGCATTTATTTTTTCATGTTTACCCATCAGGGTTGGTATAGGAAGCCCAGATGGTAGTGCACATGAAAAACACTTTTTATTCTGTATCCTGTGACACAAATGGAAGGTAGCATTATTATTATGGTTATAGTAAACACAAACTCTTTAAATAATAATCCAACTAACCTAATAAAGTTGTTTGTTTTCCTATGTAACAAACACTTTAAATAAAAATCTAGGTGTCAAACAGAAAATGCACAACGGAATGTGATCAGGGTGGAAACCAAGCAGTGAAGACAGGTTCGAGCGGCCAGCATCTCAGATCTGAGTTGGACCTGAACAGGTCTCAACACTGGAGGGAGTGTTCTCAAGCACCATGGAGTCCAATAATAACAGCAGCAGGGTGGCACATGCACGGAGAAATCAAAGGGCATTGAGGGCACATAGAAAATGAATGCCTATGTGTGAATCTACTCAACAAACACCTAGTAGCCAAAGACAATAAGCTGAACATAAGCCAGGCGTGGAGTGCTATGGCCGGAGCAGTGGCTGAGCCCAGAAATACACAAAGGAACATGGGACCTTTTTTTCATACTTAGCCAAGGCAAGATCTCTTTGGGCACCAAATCCAGTTCTTGGCCTCATCAATAGCACTTGTTAACAATAAAATTGCAACAGCTCAAGTGTAAATAAGCATGTTTTTGAACAGTGTAACTTCTGATCAGAGGGTGATCGAAGAGAAAATGAAGATCCCCTCCTGAGAGTATTTTTTAGGTTCTGAAGGATGAACCTGAAATAATGTCAGAGTGTTACACGGCCATTTAGGTGGTCAATCAGTTGCACAAGAAGGGTGTCATTCCCACCACCCTTCATTATCTCCTGAATGCCATGAGCCTTCTGATTATTCATGCAGTCAACAGGTACTTTTGGATGAATTCGTAATGTGCCAGACACTGTGCTTGGTAGATACTGGAGGCACAAGGAGGCAGGCTGTGGTTCATGCCCTTGGGAAGCTGTGGCCTGCCTGTCCCATGCAATGTGTGCCTCCTATAGATGGTTAGCAAAGGTGGCCACAGTCACTTCCCTCCCTATACCCACACCCCTTCGCAAGGTGACGGCAGCTCCTACCACCAATAGGTGGTCTTTTCCCACCCCGTGCATCTTGAAGCTGTGACCACCANAATGTGTGCCTCCTATAGATGGTTAGCAAAGGTGGCCACAGTCACTTCCCTCCCTATACCCACACCCCTTTGCAAGGTGACGGCAGCTCCTACCACCAATAGGCGGTCTTTTCCCACCCAGTGCATCTTGAAGCTGTGACCACCGGGCACGCATGCCTGGGCTACTGTGCTGGAAGAGGAGGGCCCATGTGGAGCTGCCATTCTTGCTGTGGTCATCCTAGATCAGCCAGTTGGCAGCTGACCTGGCAGCTGCTGACCACAGAGCGAGCCCAGCCAAGCCTAGAAGAACTGTCCAGCTCGCTTCAGATTACTGATCTATAGAATCTCACACTAAAAAATGGCTCCTTTAAATTACCAAATGTTGGAATTTGTTGTGCAGCAAAAGCTGACTGAGTAGCTCTTCACTATGTAAGTATGATTCCAAGTTTATTTGGGGTACAGGATTTTCTAGTATGGCTTATCAAATTACCTTGAGAACTGCCACCTCTCCACTTCGCTTTGCGCTGTAGGGACATGGCCTCAGTGTACAGTTGTCAGAGTACAGACACCCTGGGAAGGGTTGATATTGGATCTCTGATCTGCAGAATATGAAGTTGACTAATGTGCTTGAGATGTGACACATAGAGTATAATATATTTCTTGGAGAAAACACAAATACACAGGCAGACATAAACATCTACAACAAAACACACTTCAAACAAGCAGTTAAAAAGTTAATGCAAATCCAGTTAGCTTTGTTTCCTAGCATGAAGGCCCATGATGTTAAAAAACAAAACAAAAACCACCTGTTTGTCACATTCTGAATTTGAACAACGAACCAACTATGTCCTACAGACACAGCCGTAAAGCCTCCGATTTTTCCTTCAAATAATTTTATTATTTTGATGTATTATTGAAACTGTCACCACAGGCTGATGTATTATTCCAGATGTCTGTGTAACTGCCTTGATTCTAATGATCACATTAGTGGAGATTAGCGAAAGGATCTTTGATTTATCTTAATTTTCAAATATGTCAGAGTGTCTTTTCCTCTTTTCCTGGCAGCCGGCTCTCTCCCCGCTTTGTCCGGCTCCCCAGCTGGGCCTTTTGGGAAAGCAGCCAGTTCCCGGGCTAATGTGTTTCTGCTGTGATCTGACACTGATGCTGCCTCATGGAGGAGCCATGGAGATAGTGCTAATTGGACGCACTTTTAAAGCAAACCTTTTAGTTACTTAGAACAGACCTTCCCCAATTAGCTTCCTTTCGCCTCTCTCTGGCTATGCAAGAGCCACACTAATGTGAAATCGCTGGTTTTGGAAGGGAGTCAAGGGCACTGTCGAGGGCAACTGAGGGACAGTCAGACTGAAGTTGGACAAACGCTCCAGCAGGTGGGCTGGGGGCTGAATCATGGGAGAGCAGGGCCAGTGGACGGTGCTGGGAGGATCAGACGTGGCAGGAGGCCCAGCAGTGGTCCAGGGTACACTACGGACAGCCACACCCGAAAGTGCCAGAAAGCAGAGGGAAGGTGTGGGTGCTTTATAATGGCCATCTTGGGCTCCAGTGGAAGTATTTTGCTGCAGTGCAAATATTTAATATGCTATCCTCAGGTTGAAGAAAATCTATGTAAATCCCTGCCCTCTTTAGGTTACTCACAGGCTTTTGATGGCTGCCGAGAAAGAGCGCTGCTTAGTAAAAGGGGCCAGTTTAAAGGTCTTGATGTGGAAAAAGTTCGAGAAAAGAAGCAGGCCCGGAAACCATTTCTTTCTGGCTTTTATTTCTGAGATGGATTTAGAAGTGAGACATAATTAGTTAATTTCCCTTTGCTTGGAAGTGGGTCTGCCATCATTACCTCATACTCTCCGGGGGTGCCAGTTCCTGTGTTCATTTGAGCTTTATTTAATAGCAGGGGTATGAGGATTAATGACCCCTGTGGGCCACAGAATCGCATTAGTCCTGCAGTCAATTAGAAAGGGTGAGCCTGGGTTCGGCTGGGTGGCTGCCTGGGGCTCAAGGACAGCGAGCGAGGTGGGTGTGGAAGCAGGGGCCTCTCCCTTTGCCTCCCAGGCTTCGCTTTCTAGTCATTGTCATGGAAAAACCTGTCCCTGACCCTAGGAACTTTATCTCAGCCTCTGACTCAAGTGTTTACTGTTCAGGAGGTTTGAATTTGAGTTCTAGGTTAGAAAGTGACACAAGCTGTGGGGGTTTTTTGGGTGCTGGCACCGTTATTTGAAGATTTACTTAAATTAATATCAATAATTAAGTGATATGTTTGATTTACTTTAAAGGTCAGACTCCAAAATTTTGCAAACCAGTAGCTTCCTAAGCCAGTATGGACTTAGGGATGGATTTCTCTCTCCTCCTCACTGATTTCTCATTTAATTATAATGCGCATAAATCTTGAATCTTTCCTTCAGGCTGCTCCTATACTCTTCTGCACCTAAGAATACATCTTCCAGCAAATCGTCATTCCTCATTTTGTTCTTCCCTCTCTCCTTTGCTGTGACACTGATTTGCTGGGAACATCATGTACCTGTCACCAGAGTCAGCGAAGTGCTGACCTTTCTCTTCAACCGCAGAACCGGAGCAGGGCTGGCTTGTGAGAGGTGACAGGGATATGGGAGTGATATGCATAAAACACACAACAACACTGCGGGGGGGAAGCGGGAAGCATCCCACATCAGGATCACCTCCACCACGCGCTAAAGGCCATTCATTCTGAAAAGAGAAGGCTCGGAGATGATGATTTTTAGAGGAGTTACGGATTTCTCTAGTTTAAATGAATAGATGCAAATGTACAGGGCCTGGTCTATGTGCCTCTCCGGCACAGTGGTCAAATTTTGCTCCCTTCCTCCCTCTGCGTTCACGCTGAACCCCAACCTCGTAGTTGCTGGTTTCTTTCTAACAGATTAAAGCCTGGACTGATGCAGAGCTCTGCGATCTCGCGCCAGCCCCACTAACTTTGCCCCTCCTGGAGCCGCGTACCTGGTGGGTGGTCCTGTCCACTGTGTTGGCCGTGGAGGGCTGCTCCCTGGCGCTCTGGCGCCTTCGGGCCGAGCCCTGCTGCGGGACGGTGGAGGGCGGTGGGATGCAGAACTCTCTGAAGCATCGCTTGAAGTTCTCGTCCAGAAATGCGTAGAGCACCGGGTTCAGGCAGCTGTTGGTGTAGCCCAGAGCGATGCAGAAGTGCCAGGAGACGGTCTGGAAAGTCGTTTCTGGGATCGTGATCAAGGCTTTGATGATCACGTAGATGTGAATGGGGGTCCAGCAGACAATGAACACGGCCACGACCACCAGCACCATCCTGGTGATTCTTCGAAGGTTCCTGTCTTTTTCTTTGGAGCCAGAGAGCATCCGGACGCTCTTGAGGCGTAAGATCATGAGGCCGTAGCACACCGTGATGATGAGCACCGGCATGACGAAGGCGAAGATGAACACGCAGATCTTCAGCAGGTTTTCCCAGTACCAGGCTGGGTGAGAGAAGGTTAGCGTGCAGTCTATGGACCCTGGGTGAGGAGAAGGAATCGTGGCGTTAGGTGCTAACGTCGCCGTTTGCGTCCTGATTCGTAGCCTTGACTTAAGCTAACTTAAGGCTATTAGTACATAGGCCAGTAAAGAAATATTTGGAGAAACTGTAGGAGAAACTCTGTTCTCTGTTGATTTTTAGGAAGAGCTATTTTTATTTATTTATTTATTATTTATTTATTTTCCCCCTGCTAGTTCCTCTGTGGGGTCTATGTTGACAGAAAAAATAAAATGACTGTCCAGAGTCTATAGGGCATCCCAGCTAGTGGATATTTTCACTCCACTTTTTGATGGGTGGCTTATTACTCTGATATGAGGTCTAGAAAGATACATTTCTTATGTAGGAAGCCACTTAAATTGTAAAACAAGCCTCCATTTCGTACTTTTGGGTTTAAGCTCCAATGACTCTTAGAAGAGCTGTATTTTTATTTTCTCATCATTTTGGTGAAGAGCAGAGAAATCAAGAACCATTAGACGATAGTCTCTTATAAATTACAAGGGAAAATTCCTATTTCAAAATAGTCAGAGGCATCTTTCTAGAAAAAAAGAAAATCATTAAAATTACAATTTGACTAGGACATTGGATCACCCCATAAAATTCTACTTAGCTTATGACTTCCCCAACATATCGACCTGTGCAAGCTGCCCACCCCTCAGGCCCGCAGCACGCTCACCATGCCTGTACTTGGTTGTTGCCATGAACATCACAGGCAGGCCAATGGCCGAGGAGAGGATCCAGTTGCAGACGTTGATGATTTTGGCATTGCGGGGGGTACGGAAGTCTAGGGCCTTGACGGGGTGGCAGACTGCGATGTAGCGGTCCACGCTCATGGTGCAGAGGGTGAATATGCTGGTGAACATGTTGTAGTAATCTATGGAGATCACCATCTTGCAGAGGATGGTTCCAAAGGGCCACGTTCCCATGAGGTAATTGATACTCTGGAACGGCAGCGTGCTGGTGGCCAAGGCATCTGCCAGAGCAAGGTTGAAGATGTAGATATTGGTGGCAGTCTTCATTTTGGTGTATCTAGGGGACGGAGGAAGAGCAGAGGCCGGGTCAGAAAGAGACAGCAATGTGAAATACAGATAAGCTTCCAAGAATTTTTTTAAAAAATTAGCAGAAAGCATCTGAAATTCATCATGGAAGAACTGTTTTCTAATGTTAGATTGGCTACTTATAGCCATGTGCCTATAGGCTAAATATATAATTTCTCTCAGTTTTCTTACCTGAGGTGATGCTCTAACCAACTGAGCCACACTGACCAGTGCTAGAACGCCATCTTTTACTTCCCACGATCAACTGGATAAATCAATGAAATACAGGCGCTTGTCCTGCATCTAATTCTATTTAGATTATAAAAGTGATCATATGAGCACCTACCTGGATTTCTCTCCTTTTATTATCCATTCTACTTCAATATCCAGGCAAGCATGCATGTTTGTGTGTGTGTGTGACAGAGAAAGAGAGAGAGAAAGAAAAAAAGGAAGTTTGAAAACAACAAAATCCAAAATCGAACCCAGCGATATACTCTCAATAGGTATTGTAGGTATTAATACAGAAAGAGACCACATATTAGTTCATTTTCTGGCATGTTCTTCACTAGCTGAGTCAAGGAGGCAGCGAGGGATTTCCCACTTTGGTATAAAATGTTCTAAAACATTTCATTTACATTTATTTCGAAGTGGTTTTATGTGGTCGCTGATCAAATTTCCAAGGAGCTTATGCCAGCAAAAGGAAAGGAGAGTAACTTCGGACCTCCGAGCCCTGCAGACAGGCACGTAACCGTTGCTAACTGGTTCTCAAAGGAGAAGGCAGGGAGGCGGGCCGGCCGTTAAGCAGGGCTGCGCGGGCTCCCCCAGGTCAGCGGGCCCAGAGCGCGAGGGCCATAGGGTGCTTTGGGCTGCCTGTGGCTCTCTCTCCCCGCACCCACTTCGTTCTTCCTGTTTTGTTTTGTTTTGTTTTATATTCCTACTTTCTTCCTCCATGTCCCATTGATGGCAGCTCATGAGAAATGCATCTTTCAGACAGAGCAAGGGGCAAGCCCTGCTTTTGTGTCTGGTGCTAGGAAAGCTCAGTGTCTCCTCTTAGTCATTCCGTAGAGTTCTACTGGCCTTGGACTCCAGCACGTGTCTACAGCGCCCTCTCTCCTACCAATCTCCTTATTTCTCCTTGGTCTCCTAGGTCTCTTTTTTCTTCGTTATTCCTTGTATTCTGTTTTGGGCATTCGTGTAACACTCTTTACATTTTCTCTTGGAAAGTGGAAGCTGAGCTGAAGGACGGGAGGGAACATGCCCTTCGTCCACCGTGTGCCCCCGTCTGCGAAGGAGGGGAGGGGAGAGGGGCTTCCATCGTGCCCGAGCGCCTTGGCTTGGCCACCTTTAAATTATGCGTTTTGCAAGTGCTTATTTCCCGCTTTCTTCAATTTCTGTTTGTTCTGCTTCAGGACTTGAGTAGCATTTATCTTCCTGGAAGTTTATATCGAAACTCATGTTTTGCTTCCTTTTTTTCCTGCATTCTGAGATAACTAATATTTATGCAGTATAGAAATATATGACTGTGCTAAATCCTTTGATGCATATAAACCATTGTAGTAGGATGAAATGTTCTATTTGTGACTCTAGATTTTTGCTTATAGATAGACAGATTATTCATCTCTTTAGACCAAATGACTTCAAAAACAGCATGAGAACATCAATCCCAGGAGCGAGCGCATTTTGGTTCATAGATAACAATGCTCTGCATTTCTTATACATACTTGGATTTAGAACTTTGAAATCATTTGCTTTGAAACTGGGGAGTTCTAAGAGAAAATAAAATTTCTTCTATTTTAAAATCTATTAGCTCCGTACATAAAACATAAAGTGTGCATTCCCACTAACAATAGTAACGGTAGAGCCCTATGTATTTCTTATGAGTTGCAAGAACAAAAAAGGAAATGGCTTCAAAACATGATAAAATAACTTTACCAATATTAATACTAGAAAACTGCTTTTTGAAGAAGTTCGGGCTTATGTTGTAGATCACAAATTTTTAGAGGGTATAGTCAGTAAAATTATTTTCTATTGTACTTAGTACAACAAATATGAAGCTTCACCTATATTTTTCCTGATGATGTTGTGCACATAGTCACTCAATATAAGTAAAATATAAAAGACAGTATGAACATAAAAGTTAAAAGAAATAAAAATAGAGTTAAATGATCCTATTCAGCACAAAATCCAGCAGAAGATGAATATAAGCATATACTTGTTGGGTGGAATCTAATATAGGAGGATGGGTTTGGGTGATTTTTATTTTTCTGGGCATGATGAAACAAGCTTTTTAAAAGGAAATCTTAAGCTTTTGAAGTAAAAGTGAACAGGAAATATTCTTTTTAGCTTTGTCAATTTGTTGTTAAATCAAAAGAGCTTTGGTCATAGGAGGTCATGAAATGATGAGAAGCAGGACCTGACAGGAGCGTCAAAACCACGCGGTTTGATCACCTTGCGTTATGCTGAGAGCCTGAGGGATGCAGAGAGGTACAAATGCTTGAGATTCCTCCCTCTCTGCCCCCTGCTTCTCGAAGCTCCATCTAGAACTACACTGTGCCTCTGTGCTGTATGCTGGGCCAGGTGTATTTCTGGGAATGTGTTTCTGATGATGCCGTAGTTTGTCCCAGAAATACATGGCCTGCTATTAGCTAAAACGGGGTAAGCATGCCAAGCTTTTTCATCACCTTTTCGAAGACGGCCGTGCCGGGCCATTAGAAATCCTGAGACTTTATTTTTTACGTTGAATGTGGTAACAGAATCATACTTTTTAAAGGAGTGCTGAGTTTGTTCCACTTCCTTTACTCTCTGACAACCCGTGGTTTAAACCTTTCAGTTCTAGGGAAGTGACTCTCAGTCTGTCCCTTCAGTTCTCTGACTACCTTTCCAACTTTCTTTTGGACGTCTGTGCCTGCTGCTGGCTTCTCAAGTGAAGCACTTCCCTAAGTGTGATTTTTCTTTCTCATCTACCACCAGCACCCTCACCACGACCAGTAGCAGCAAAATAATCAGTAACAATTATTGGAGCCAGGATTTGAGCCCAGGTTATTTAGGCCCTGAGCTGCAATGCTCTGCTAGCTAATAGCCCTGTCTTATTATTTCCTAATTGTTTCTTCTTGTTTCATGGGATACTCTCTTTCATCCCTCCAAAGGTATTAAATATAAGTCATTTTAAAGTCTTTGTGTGACTGCTTTTTATTCTGTTTCCTCAAGTGTAAATTCTTTTGTTTGTTGTGCCCTGCCCCCACATCTTTCCTGGTATAGGCATTCATTAGCAATGCTATTATATTGATCTTGACCCTTGAAGTTAATGTTCCTTAATAAATAGATTGTTCACTTCCTCTGCTGTGTAGCCCTACCGGGGACAGGAGCTGGAATTAGCCTCTGAACCTTGTGCACCGTACAGTTTTCAATAAGAATGGAGGCTGGACGGGCTTGAGGGAGGCACAGTGCACCCTGGTGGCTGCCTTCCTCTGGAGCACTGCTGGACTTCCAGGTCCAGCCAGTATCTCTGCCCCAAGCACTGCACCAGTTTTTAAAGGGAAGTTGTTGCTTCTGTGTGGTGTGTAGACTGGAAAACACACCAGGGCCAACTGACGTGGCTGCCACTACTGTGGAGAACCACCCCCCGGTGGAAATTCCTTTATCTGAATTCGTGTTTCTTGAGTAAAGTCATCAGTGTCTCTAAGACTCTTGATCTCTCTCTGTTGCATCATTCGCTCCTTTCAAAAGGAGGAGTGACTTATCTTGTTTATACGTTTAGGATGAAGAATTGGGTATGTGTAGCTCTGTCCCTTCCACTGTCTCTTTCTAAGATTCAGCTGCTCAGAGGAAACACATATTATATCCAACTATTCTGGGTTCTAAATTTTAAAGGGACTGGTCCCCAGAGAAGAAGGTCACCAGTGGTCCAGGTCTGTGACTAGCTGTGTCTGTGTATTTCATTCTGGGGTTAGAATTACAAGGTTGTTATTACTGCACTGCCCGGTTACAACCACCGGCAGAGTATTTGCCAATAATAAAAGATGATATTTTTTCTCTGTCTGCTGATTCATTTCATCTTATCACTCAGTTGGTCCAAACATCATCAGGGAAAGAAGGAGTGACATTTAACAGGGCCCTGTAAACATCCGCATTGCCTGATGGGAATTTCTCTACCATTTTCATAAATTTGTGTATGGCTTCTCATCGATTTATTGCTTTCATTTGTGTTCTTTAAAAATAATTTCTAAAAGTTGTTGTAGAGTTTGGGGGCCGGGAATGGAGTCCTGTGTTTGTTCTCATTCAGCCATCCTGAAAATGATACATTGCAGAGTAATTAGTTTAAACAAGTTTTTAATTTGAGTATTGTATAAAAGCAAATCTTACGCTATTGCTATTAATCAACTTGAGGGTAACTTTCAACCATTTGCATACTTGCATATGAAATCTTAGTGCTGTGTAATAAATGTGACAATTGCATTGAAATTATGTTTTGTCTTTTAGTCTGGAAGCTTCTGGAGTATAGAGACCATGATCAGTCTGTACTCTACTGGCGGCTTGGCTGAGCCACATGATGAATTCTCCTGACCCGTTCATCTCGTATCCCTAAGGGCTTCTCCCTTCCTTCCGCCATAGAAATAAATCCTGCTTTCCTGTCTCATATCATCTTACTGCTCCCCGCACTGATCCCCATTCCTGTCTCTCCCTGTTGGCAGAGGAGGAGAGAGGACAGCATGTAGTAGTGTGAGGCTGAGTGATGGAGAGAAAGAAAAAGACCCCTGGCAGCTTTCAGGGAGCTAGTGTAGTTGCTAGCAGCCAGGCGGTGGTACTCATTTATGGAATATAATTCTTCAGAGTATCAACTTTCCATGACTGTGATGCCACAAGACAAAAACAAGATGCCTCTGTAACCAGGCCTGAACAGAGTTAAAGCAAAATTACCTGAACCATAAAAATGCCAAGCATCTCCCTCTCCCGGTTAACACTGTGACCACTGCTGCTTCAGTGACTGGAAGG